CTATCTTTATTTCTAATCGAGAAGAACTTAGCCACACCTCAAATCTTAATAACTTAACGGCTTTTATCAAAAACAATAGCTTTTCATTATAAAAGTCTATGCTGAAACTTTAATATTTATTATAATCTCTTTACTCTACTTCATAATTAATATGAAATATGCTTTATTTTTTTACTAATGAAGCTATTATGTTACACACAAGACAAACATTTAATATCCTTATCATATTACCTCCTACATTTATTACAGACAAAACATATTCTATTTAAGCTCGCAATCAGCCCACATACTCTATGCTTTTCCACTGTACTGTACTCTACTCTACTGTAATGCACTCTACTCTACTGTACTGTACGCTGCTCTATTCTACTCATACTTATGAATCTAACCTAATTTAACTGATCCACTTAACATTATCTTCATCTATTTCGGTTTCAAATAAAGCCGCTCCAGCAAATCTTTTAATCCGACTTCCCACTTTTGTTCGCATACAGAGTTGTATTCGTTCGCATTGTGCTTGCCACGGTGTTGCGATTTTGCAACTCAAAAATTTATGCAACATTTGACTATTTTATCAGCAATTGTCAATCAACATCATGTTTATGTTGTAGCAACATTAAAAAAAAGAAAGAGTTATAATTTATAATGAAAACGCGTGTATTGCAAAAGAAACATAAACAAAATAAAAATATTAAAAACAAAAAAAAAAATAAAGAATTTTGCAAATATCGCAGAAAGACAAATTTATGCGATTTTTAATCGCACGTTAAGCCTGACAAAAAGGAACTTAGACTCTAGATAATTACACTGAATTTATATCGACATTCAATCAGCACAAAAGCCAACAACAACAACAACAGCAACAAAGACAACTCTTAGCAGCAACAGCAGCAGAATATCGAGCAAAAATAACAAACAACAACGCAAAAAAAAGCATAGTTATTATTGCAATTTTGTTGTTGGTTTTATTGATGTTCATATTCTTGTTGTTGTTGCTGTTTTTGTGTTGAAAAAACGCATTAAATTCGAAGCGCACAAAAAAGTGATGGAGTTAGTGACGTTAACGGCGGGTGGTTGACTCGCTGACTGACTGACGAGCTTATGTTTTCAATAACGTCGAAGGAAGATGCCTGTATGCGGTGCAGCAAAATTTCTTCTAAGAGTGCGTGGGCCGTAAGCCAAAGTCAAAGCAAAAGCAAAAGCTAAAGAGAAAAGACGCTTAGTGCGCGCATTGCTTTATTTTTATTTTATTTTTTATTTTTATTTTTTTTTTTTGTTTTTTGTGTTATTTTGTTATTTTGCTATTTGGTTATTTCGTTATGCGAATGTAGTGAGTATGCGCGTACTTTGTGCGGCTGTACGGATGGATACGTGCCTTCTAGATTTGATGTACGGCAATTTCTGAGAATTATGCGAATCATAAGACTATTTTACGGTATATGACAGGAGTAGGCGAAAAATTTAATACTTTTTTAGATTTTTATTTTTTTTTTTTGTGTTTTTTATTTCCACAAAAATATTTGCTGCGCTTTCATTTGAATTCATTTTATTAATATTTTTTAATCTTAAGTAAAAATAATTCTCTTAAATTTAAATGAAAAATTATGTAGCATAAAGTCAGTTAAGTTGGCAATTGAGCGACAAAATGGAGTTGTCGCCATTGTTATTACCCAACAAGCTGATCACACTTATTAAAATTATAACAAAAATAAAAAAAATTTTTTTTTTCTTCAGTTTGCCTTAAAAATGTATCTTGACTAGAACCAATCGATTTTTGCACTTTTGAGTTTAGCTTTCTTTTTTTTTTGGATTTGTACAGAAATAACTCCAGGCGCTATGCTTAAATTGACTTATTAAATGTCAAGCTGTGCTTAATACGCTTTAAAGCAAAGAAAACAACAGAAAAAAAATTAAACAAAATTACTAGGAAAAAAAAGAGTTGCCATATTTTTTCTCGTTACCGTTAAGCGCAACATGAGTTTGTCACATCGTACAACATCAAACAACAACAGGCAGCACCTATCAGTGGCGTTGTGCTGGGAGCTGAAAACAGTGTGGGTGGTACCAGCACTCAAACTCATAAATTTCCTCATGGGATTATTGCCTCGCCATTGATGTATTCCACAACAGAGCAATGTTGCTTTTAGCATTGATTGTTGTTGTTGTTGCTATTTTGCTACGAATTTGTTGCTATGTTGCTGTGATCGCATTGTGCGCAGTATCCTTTATGCATGGATCATTATAGTTTCGACTTTGGATTGAACATACAATTTTCTTCAATTATATGCGTACATTTTGCGTTGACTTTTCTGTGAGATTTTAATTTGATTATAGTTTTTTGTATACAATGTACTGCGTTCCACACTGCAATTTTGTTGTTGCGGTTTATCAGATTTAAAGTTTCCGTTGTAGAAACTGCGGTAGATCTTTATCGAGGAATTTACGAACAAGCAATTTTGTTATATGCAAAAAAAAAAAAACAAAAACAAACAAATTATGAAATACAAAAAAAATTGTAATACATTTTTTTTTTTTTGACAAAATGAATATATAATTTCATTATTTATCGTAGTATAAAATTTTGTTCATATTGCATTAAAATTATATGATACAATTTATTGAATTAAGTTTTATGTCAAGCTATCATTTGTAAAGAAAAAATTTTTTTTACAATTGCCAACCCTGCACACGCATTAGAATTTTCTGTAGTACGTAGGTCCACCTTGACACACATAATAGAAGTTTTTAGTACTTATGTGAACCCTGTTCACGCACGCAATATGAGTTTTTTAAGTACGTATGCCAACCCTGATCACGCAAAATGAGCTTTTTAGTACGTATATCAACCCTGAAAAACGCAGTTTTAGTTTCTTTAGCATGTATATCCACCCTGACAAACGCCATAGAAGTTTCATTAATAAGATATACTTATAAAAGAAATATACTCTTACAGACACAATAGGAATTTCTTTAATAAGTAAATCAACCCTAACATGTAATTGAATTTTTTTTTAGTAAGTACGGACCTTCTAGAGATGTTTCTCTTAAGTTGACAATAGTTTCAAAATTTATTTCATCATTATTTGACCAAAAATATCTCTAAAATCAACAATACTTTATTAGCGATGTGTACCCCTCTAACAGAGTTTCTACTGTAATTCATAAAAAAAATTTTAAATATACTTTATTCGAGAGAAAATCGAGATGTCAGAAAAAGGATAGAGAAACCCGAAAAATAGTCATGAAAAATGCAAGAGAGCCGTAAAACAGTATCTGGGTTAATATTGATAATCCATGTTAAGAAACATCCTGATTGATTTCATAGAGATATTTCTTTTAACTGCAAGGAAAACGACTTGGTCGTTCGGGACACCTAAAAAATCAGAGTTGGCATCCTGTAAAAATTTATTTATTTCTTACATTGGTAAGCAATTTAATAAATTGATGGGAAGATTCAACGACATGGAAGTCTCTCTATGAAAGTTGGCTGCATTCTATTAAGAAAATATTGACACTCTTATTAAGATGCTCCATACAGATATAAGTCTTGTGATGGGTTTGTAGGCAGGTCACAGATATTTAGAGCACCGTACTAAAAGATGAAATTCCCCCATTTAGTCATTTCTCTGACAATTGTGTAGTGGACGATGGAAGTGCCACATATCTGTGCTATTACATATCTTGTCACGCTATAGCAATTTGGGAAACCATGCTTACAGATTGAATCTCCCGCTTAATCACTCCTGCCGCAGTTGTGGAGAGATCGATTAAAGTGTCTCAGATCTACTTTTTTACTGCCCAGCGCATGTGTGTTGGTGATTGATTCTACTAGAGGCTTCCTTTTCTAAGGATATTGGTCAACTTTAGGACTATAGCTTTGTCAAAGGTTCAAGTTGGTTTTTTAAACTCTGAGTTTTCTAAACGGAAAACAAAAAGATGCCTGCATTACCTAACCTAACACTTTGTTTATTAAATTATATTTCAATAAAGTATATAAAAATCGGTAACATTAAACTATTTTGCATAAAAAGTCGACAACTGTATAAAAAAATATCTTACATTGACGCATTTATAAACCCAACTTAAGCGAACTAAGCTAAGCTTAACTCAAATCAAAGCAAAATGCGAAGCCAAGTGCAAAATACACAAACACAAAAAGCGGCTAAGTCATCAAACAAATGCCCTTTGGCCAAATCTGTCACAACTCATCAATTTCCATTCAAGTCAAATAGCGCAAATACATTTGGTTCTGGACGATTATTCACGCTCTCCCAATAGCAAATGATTGTATACACACATATGCACACACACAGAATTCAGAAAGGCTTGCACACATTTCATTTTCTATTTTCTCTTCATCTTTCCCTTCGTGAATTGTGAATGCTTTTAGCTGAAAACTGAGTAATTGAGTGACAATTAAGTTATTTCCAGCCTTTTTAGTTCCAACAGCATAGAAATGATTAAATGTGCAATAACTAAATAGTGTTTACGTCTCTGTGTGTGTGTGGAAAAGCAAAGGAAAACAATAACAAATATGTTTCTTCACATATGTTCCTTAACGAATGCGTTTGCGCAGAACAAACACCTTTGCGCCACCTCTGTACGTTGGTACAGAGGAGTAAGTAATGAAATATTGCCGAGTTCATGTCTCAATTAAGCTTTTTGCGTTCGTAACGCATTTTAAAACCACTTGCTATGTATGTGGTTATAGCTTAGGACTTTTATACATTTCCTTTTTATTTATAGTTTTTTTTTTAATTTAATTTTTTTTTTTTCTTTTGAAACTTTCTTGTTCTTTTTAACATTCACTTTGGTTTTTGTGTGTGTGTTGTTTTTTTTTGTTTTTTGAGGACCTAAGCAATAACACAGTCAGTCCACTTGCAACCAATTCGTCATTTTAGCTGGACTATTGCCAACTTAAGCTTGCAATCATCATAGCCGATGAGCTGTTTATTATGATGCTATTCTTCGTTCGTTTCGTATATTCGGCTTGATGAGTGTTAAGCTTTTATGTACATACGTGTATGTGTTTGTGTGTGTTTGTGTTGAGTAGCAGCAAACACGCGCCGCCGCAGCTGTATACGTTGTTGTTCATCATTGCTGTCGACAATTTTGATTGAGATTAATCGCGCATTTGACAGTTGCAAGATTGCAGTGTAATGTTCTTGTTGTTGTTGCTGTTGTTGTTTGATGTTATTTTGTTCAACATCATTATGATGTTTAACAGTATTGTTAATAATTGTGTTGTTGTAATGATGCAGCAGCAATGCTTTTGAGTTCACATATGCAATTTGACATTACAGTGGACGTCCAATATAACGAATTTTATGTTGCACCCCTTGTTCGTTATATCGAAAAATTCGTAATATCGAATGTTATACATTTACCTATCAATATGGTTATTTTTAGGAGATTTCATATATTTGAGTTCATAAATTAACTTATAAACACGTACGAGTATATATTTATTTAAAAGTATTTTTTATTCGGTTGTTACAAAAATTATTTATAAGAAAGGACGCATTCAATCATAGTGTAGAGTAGAAAAAATCATTAATTTTTGTTTGTTTTTTACTACACTCAAGACTTTTCTGAACAGCTTTTTCTTGTAGTTCTCTTAGTACAGCTAATTTTGAAGTTTCATTATTGTTAATCGCCCACTTTATGCATTTTTCGAAATGATTTATGGCATCTTTATGTTTAATAATTTCTAAATTATTTTCTTCTATATTTTCGTCATCAGATCCATCATCCTCGTCCGAGACATCGATGGTATTATCAGCATTATTCCATTTATTAACTTCGTATTTACTAATGTCACACTAACAATAAAATTGAAAATATAATATAGGATATTATATATATGTATGTCTGGATAGTATTTCGTATATGATAAACTGAATTTGTGAACAACAGATCAGTGGCGCCTGCATATATGCATTTTGCCATATATAGGCATTTTTCTCAGAAAAAAAAAAACGAACAATTACTACATGCATATTCTAAGCTGAATAATGCTGGTTTTATAGTAAAATTATATTCAAAAGCATAATTTGTATAAAACAAAAACGAATAAGAAAAAAAAAATTTTTTGTTCGTAATATGGAGCAGAATTTTTTTTTTCGTTCGTTATATAGAACAATCAATGTAAATATTTTGGGTGTTCGTTATATCGAAAATTCGTAATATCGAGCGTTCGTTATACTGGACGACCACTGTATTTGTTTGAGTTGCATTTATTTTTTTTTTCTAAATAATTTTTTTATGTTTATTTGTAACTTTTGCCTTGCAGCATCCTTTGTTGTAAATTAGTTATTCTTATTTTACAATAGTTTTTTGTTGTATTTTTTTTTTGTTTTTTGTTGTTACGCTCCATCATTTGTGGGTGTGTCCGTAATGCTTTGTAGTTAATTTGATGCACTTATATTAAATGAATTTTAGTTGAACTTTGACGTCATTTGCGTCAAATTATGTCTTCATTTAATGAGTTTATTTAGTATAGTACATATACAAAACAAAAAAAACCTATAAAAAGGTTAAAAAAAAGCCATGAAAATGCACATAATTTAAAGGGTTTTTGTTTGCGGTGTATGTATAGTATAGGCTGGGGGTGTTAGACGTTAGTTATATATACACAACTCATATATGTTTAATAGGAAATATGAATAAATTATGAGTTTTTAAGTTATAAAATTAAAAAGTATGTGTGTCACTCCATTATTAGCGACTTTGATTGTATATTTGTTACACCATTTTGTTAAACTTGGATTTTTTAATTTTAATGTGTCTTAAATACATAACTTCATTATAATATTAAAAATGAGAAATTTTAATTACCTACACTTTATGATTTCACGGAAAAAGTTCACTAAAATCGGAGTTAAAATGTATATATAACTCGAAATTAAAAACAACTTAATTTAATAATAAAATAAATAATTTAATAAAACTAATTTAATAAAAAAATAATAAATTTTTTTAATAATGAAGAAATTTTAGTTAACTGAAATGATTAGAAGATATTATTTACAATTTAATGATCATTGTCAATGATTTCTACTTTATATAAAAAAACTATAATCTTCTCAAAAGCGAAACTGAACTTATAATAATGATTTAGTTATTTGTTACATATATTTTTGAAATATTATTTAATAATTGCTATTAATTCCACATAAATTTAATTAAAAAAAAAATTTGCAGTTTAGCGAATTTAATTTATTTGACATTCTAATTTGATTTATGATATATTAGGGAAAAATTTACCATTAATAGCACAAAAAATTTATTTTAGGAAAAAATTTACCATAAACCAAACTTAATATTTACTCACATTTATTCTTACAAAAGACAGCCATATTGAAATTATAACAAATTTAATAGAAAAATGAATCCCAGAAAAGAATTGTAGTATAATAGTGAAAAAGGAGTAGATGCAAGTATGAAAACAAACAAAAAGGAAAAGAAGAAGAAAGCAAAAAGAAAAAAATTAAAATAAAATAAAATTTTCCATTAACTATATTAAAATATTAAAATTACATTACAGATTTGCATATTTGAAGTATATATATATCAGTCAATTTTTATATGTGATCAAAATTTCAGTATTATCCTTACTCAGCGCGTCTAATTTTAATTAAAAATTTCAAATCATAAATTGCTTTCTGCAATATTTTATTATTATTTTTCTATGTCATCCATTAAAAATTAGAAAAATTTTCAAAGAGCAAAAACAAATTGTGCGAATAAGAAAAACACAGAAATAGGTCCAAGTCTTCTAACGATAAATCATCCGCAACGGTCGCCTCAAAGTCTATGCATCAAGGCGAATGCAAAGATTTTAACTGTAAACAAAATGAACCATAAAAATCGCGTATTTACGAAACGATTTACCACACTCAAAACAACAACAACAACAACAACACAACAACAAAAAATAACATTAAACCCACACATACACACATCTAATACAACCCGCAGCCAAAATGGCGAATCCGTTTTTATAAATTCATAATTACAGCAGCATTTCAATTGCAATGCATCGCACTGCAAGCATTGATTGTTGTTGTTTTGTTTTCACACAGATTTTTCTAAATTTTTTTCCCAATATTTTTTTTTCTTGTTCTAAATTTTTTTTTGGTACTTAACAGTAAGAAAATACACGCGCACTAATACATTGAAAAGAAAAAGTTTGAAAAATTTACAAGCTTTTGTGTGTGATGAATTTCTCTGATTTTATGTTTATTTGTGTGCGCGTGTGTGTGTATGTTTCGCGCAATATACCGCAACGAGCGCACACTAGCAGCAAGAAGAACAACAAAAACTGTATATGCAATATTTGACAAGTAAATATGATTTACTGTCAAGTAAGGAGCAAGCAAGTAGGCAGCTAGAAAACAAGAATACAATAGCAAAGATAAAATAAAAACAAAAAATTACAAAAACAAAAACAAAAGCAAAAGACACTGCATCAGCAAAAGAAATAACTGCTGGCATATTTTTAACTGCTGCCACTGTACGAGTACTGTCACCGCTTACGTCAACGTCACTACCGTTGCCTTACCTTTTGCCACTATCAAGTGTCATCACAGCTAACATCCTTAGGTGTAAAATGCAATTCGCGTAAAATGCAAATGCTGTCGTAGTGGCATTTACGCCGAAACAGCAAACAAATTGATCATCTTCAGCTGCAGTGGAACAGCATATATGTACGTATGTATGTATGCAGAATAGATTTGATAGCTTAGCTCTGTGTAGAACATAGAGCATAAGTTATTTGTGATGACAGCAGTTGCAGCAACTGCAGTAGCAACAACATAACAGCGCAACACAACAGCGCATCACAAAAACAAAATAATGATAGACAAAAAAAAAAAACAGTACTGCGACAAAACAACGACAAGAAACGAAACGATTGGAAACGAAATCATTATCACCTGGAGCAATTGCGATGATTGTCCGGCAAGGCGACTTCTAATATTTTTCGTTGATTTTGATTTAGTTGTTGTTCTTTTTACGCTGATTTATTGGTTTTCTTTTTGTTTTTGTTTTGGTTTTTGTTTTTGCAGTGTTGCCGTAAGGTTATCAGTTAAAATTTCTTACAGGTAGACTGCCATGCATGCGAGCATGCACTGTAGTAGTGCTGCCGCCTACTTCGCCGCTGATTTGGACTTTTCATCTCTGCGCATAAGATTTGATTAAAAGCTTTTGGGCATATGAGAATAAAAAATATTTCCTTATTTTTTTGTAATTAAAAAGTTTTATAATATAATATAAAAATAAAATAAAAATGTAAAGTTTAATAGAAAAAATTTTTAAATTAAAATCTAATAACTTATTATTATTTATTTATTGTAATGTGGAATAACAACAACAATTATTAAAAAAGGAAAACAGAGAAAAAAATTTCCTTATTTTTTTTTGCAATTAAAAAATTTTATAATATAAATAAATATAATATAAAAATAAAATAAAAATGTAAAGTTTAATAGAAAATATTTTTAACTTAAAATATAATAACTCATTATTATTTAAAATGATTTTTTTATATATTTTTAATCTGACTGTAGGCCCCTTCTTGTTAAATAAACGTTTAATGTTTTTTATTATACTCTATATTTCGACACTCTTTAGGAGTCATCAGCAGGATTGCGTTACGTCCTCCGCTTTGTTCTATCGTCTATAATGTACTACAGTCAGATTAAAAATATTTAAACAGGTCGAAACATAAATTTCAAAAATTTTATTATTATTTATTTATCTTAATATGGAATAACAACAACCACAAAATAACAGTTAATTAATGTTATTACAATTCAGAAAAATGGAGAAAAAAATATATTCGAAATCATTTATGAAATTAAGTCAGCTATTGTAATAGTTTTAAATTATATAAATCAAAATCAACAAAAGCAAAAAAAAATTAAAATTAATTGTATTTATTAAAACTAATACAACAATTTTATTTCAACAGTTTTTAATAGCATTAGTGAGATAATATTTTATTAATTACCCCCCATTAAATCATTTTACATATATTAATAAATAAATTACCATAAAAAGGCTTGTATAACTGAAATTCAAGATAAAAAAGTACTTGATAAATAACAAGAAAATAATAAACATGCATTTATAATAAATGCATATATGCATAAATACATAAATGCAATAATCTACATAATAATTGAAATAAATAAACATTGCCAGATCAGCTGCTCGTTTGACCAAGAACTTGAACAAGCCAAACAAACTGCCAAGCAAACTGCCAAGTAAAGCAAAAACAAATTCTAATAGAAATAGTGAATATCGCACCAAACAAAAACAAAAAAAAGCTTTCACTACAAACACAATAAATGCGATTGTTTTCGCAAAATAAAAACAACAATTAAAACTAAAACAATGCAAGTAAAGCAACATGTATGTATGTGTGCATAAAAGTTCCTATTAAAAATATTAATAAATAATTATAAGATTACATATCCAAATGCAAACACAACATTGCTGCTGAAATAAAAGGCGTTAGTTATGTGCATTGCGTTGTTGTTGCGTCGCCGTTTGCGTCAACCGCAAAAGCCACTATATGGTTTATGCAATGAAATTGTGTACGTATGTATATAATTTCTATTAAAATTTCTTATTAAAACTTTTTATACGAGTATTGCACACGTTATTTCTCACAGCATCGCACACACTACTACCGTGCTGACAACGCATTTATACACACACAGTCACATACATAATGCTATAGGCTGGGCTGCACCTATTACAAAGCGACAACTACAACAACTACAACACATTGAAAACTTTTGCGT